CTCGATCTAAACTTTTGAGAAAAATATTTTTTAGTCCCTTGAGTTATATTTTAATCATTTTCATCCATATTTTTATTTTATATATTTCATTCCCATTTTAAGTTTGTTAATTTCTTTTTAGTTATTGAAGATTGCATTTTGTGATTAGAAGCGATAGAAAAGGTAAAGATAATATAAACTGCGCGGAAAAATGAAGATTAACCAAATAAAAATTATTTATTATCATCATTTTGCAAATTGTTTGTTTATTGATAGCCTTATACTTTCCCTATCTTATCCATTATTGGTGTTCTTTAGTAGTCATACCCTCTCAACTTTATTTAATTAAATTAACTAGATGATTTTATATAACAAATTAATAACAATTAAAAAAAACTTTAAATCTAAGTGAAAATTAATCAATAAGAATAATGTATAAAAAGAAAAAAATTTCAATAAGAACAATGTTTGTCGTTTTCTTGACATTTGGAAGGTCGAGTAATGTAATTAGAGATAGATATTAATCAACCTGTTCTAACTGCTGGCATCCGCTACCTCGCACGGACAATTTTTATGTTTAATTTCATGGACTTGACTTATTAATAACTATAGTATATTCTGGCAGTTAGGATTTGATTTTGCTTATTCATATGAATTGAAACATTCAAACTCATGGCATTTTTAGAGTATTATATAGGCATCTTTGGGGCTCACGCAATAGTCATATTTACATGATTGCATGCTTTAAGAATATAACTAATAAGATTTGACTCAGTTGATACTTATTAATTTAAAATTTTTAATTTAAAGTTAATGTTAAAAATTTAAATTTCTGTATTATCAAACAATTAACCCTCTGTTAAACAAAAAATAATAATAATTTAGGGTTACATGATTAGGAGATTAAGCAACTTTGATTGGTAGTTGGAAGGGTTGGAATAGTTCTAAATTTCTAACAGGTTTGTTTCTCTGGCATGCATGGTTCAAACTGTCTTATCCCATATTTGTCCTATGTATCTATCTTGAAATGCCTAAGGTTGGAGGGCCATTAGCAAACCGAAAAGTTAAATTAATCTCTTACAATTAAACATGAAAAGAGGATTTTGACCTGTTCAACTTATCTTTGGCCAACTTCATATACATATGTAACTTTTATCTAAAACTAAAATTATTAGAAGTTGATTTTTTAATCTTATGGATTAAAACATATCATTAAAGAAATGTGAATTTTCAAATCAACTTGTAAAAGAAAAAAAAAGTGTAGGAATATTAATGAAAAAAATGTAAATATCATTAATGAATTGACGTATATGCATGGTAATTCATTTAAGATATTTAAATACTTTCACAAGTATTTTTGCATTTTTTTATAGATCGACTTAAAAAAATATTGTACTTGCTTGTATTTTACCATAAAAAAAAAAAAAAGGAAGAAAAACTTATCAGTTTTAAAAGAAGAACTTGAACTGCACGCTCGACTTATCTTCAAGTACTAATCTAGGTAGTTTAATTTATGTTTTGGCATAAAAATTAACTAATATGTGATTTAATTTATTTTTTAATAAATTAACAGACTCCTTTAGTTCATTTTTAGTAAATTTAATTTTTTATCTAATAAAATATAGATATAATAATTTATTTATAAAATTTTATATTTATTTTTAATTAAATATCACTTAAATAAAATTTTTGGCATAAAAATTAACTAATATGTGATTTAATTTATTTTTTAATAAATTAACAGACTCCTTTAGTTCATTTTTAGTAAATTTAATTTTTTAT